GTTATTAGTGGATTAAGAAGCCAAGTGCATAGTTTTGGGGCAAGCGAAGCGTTCTTTAGCCCTCTGTATGTTAAGCGAGTATTTGTTTCTGGTTTGTACGAAGCAGTTGCGGGATGCTGGTTTAAGTGAGGAGCGCCAACGACGAAATGCTGATTGTTTAAAACCTACACTGCGGTTACAAGCATGGGGTTTGGAATAGTGTGGAATACAAAGATACCTACCTTGAAAAAAAATTTGTGACTTTAAACTGACATGAAAATATCAGATTTGAAACAACAATCCTTCCAGGGATAACAAGTTGGTTGAATCGTAATGTCCAGAAGTGCGTCTGGAGTTAGGTAGTGAAATGAGGTGAGAAAGCCAATGAAGCAATGATCCACTGAGCTCGATGGTAAAAGGAAAGCGGTGTTGGAGAAATAAGAGGGAATGGATGTGAGAATGAGGTCAAGGGTGTGGGCGTGATTACAAACACAATCAAGTCTGCGTGTGGAGAAGTCAACTAGTGGACCACAGCAAAAACCTCGACTTCGTGTCCCATGAACGAAGTGTTTGAGGAGTGCTTCAGTCATTCCTTGCTTCGGGTAAAAGAATCTCCGACAATGGTAATTTGGCTGTNGGCTGTTGAAATCTGTCGACATTAGTGTCAATCTTGAAAGTATTAAAAATAGAAGGATCGCTGCTGCTCTTGGAGCGGTAACCAGTAGCTACTGAACGAAGGGAACCGAAGTTTCAGTCACACAAGCTGGAATTCACGGTTGAAGGAATCTAGGTACGAAGGTCGGGAAGAAACGACGGAATGATGAATATAGGCGCACGCACCAACTTAAAGAAGAAAAGAATGGAGGAAGTAATTAGGTAGCTGAAGATGAGTAATGTCTGATAAGGGAGTGTCTTAACCACAAATAAAGCCAAGAGGAGGAAAATTGGAGAGTAGTGTACAGAATTAACATTTCGGTTTGAACTGCGGATGTCAGTGAGGGCTCTGGATCGCTGTATTTGTAGGTAAAGTGTGTATTCTGTGATTTGCGAGTCGTATTGTTCATTCGACGTGTGAGAGAAGACCGGCAAGCCAACCCTGAGACTTGGAGTGGTAAATCACGTTAGGCCTCAATAGGTTGAGCGTGTTAGTGATCCGGGCGACAGCAGGGCTCTCTGTCACCCAGCAAGGTTATATCATCTGCATATTCCAAGTCAAGAGCTCTGTTCTCTGGTAGGAGTTGAACTCCACCGTTCGCTAGATCCGACACCATCGTTTTCTTGTTTTCGTAATAGCTAAGTTACTGTGCCATAACTTGGGATAATCCGCAGTAGACGATCAAAAACGAATAAAGGACAGACAGCCTTTTAATAGTTCGTGTAGAATACTTAGTTGTCCTTTCCGTCAAAATAGAGATGACCATTAGGTTAATGCTTCTGCAAATGGTAAATCTGACTACTAAAAATAGCTTTGTTATTACACAGTGTGATGAACAACAGATAGGGTAAGCCCTGTAGTCACGAGAACCTGCTGTTCAGTGACAAAAACCGGTAACTTAACCCCCGGGACCGGTAGTGGCAAACCGCATAAGGTTAGGTGTGGTTTTGAACTGGACAACAGCCACGTTTTCTACCACAAAACTTGAGTATTTTTTATTTTTATTGCATACCTAATTGTGATGAACAGCAAGAGGGGGCGAACCCCATAGTCACGAGGACCTGCTATTCAGTGGTGGAAACCGGCACCCTAAGACCCGGGTGGCGAACCACATAAACCCCCGCTAGCTCAGGCGTGGTATTGAACCGGACGACAGCAGAGCTGCCTACCACCAAAGTCGAGTGGCGGTGGCGGGACTCGGACCTCAAACCATAGGGTTCAAAGTACGCCAGTGACAGCGACTAAACCACTGCGCTACCACCACTCAACTAATTTATAGTCCATGATCTTTGTCATTCCCGTTATTGTTATTGTTATTAATGTTGTGCTGGCACCCTGCTTTTTGCAAGCCGATGTTGTATATATATATATATATATATATATATCGTTCGCAAAAGGTGTGGAACAATTCCAGTGTTTGTGTAATGTGGTAAGCAGAGTATTTGTTATATTCTGAATACGAGATGACAAGTCGGTAGTTACTCGAGAGAACGAGAAACTGAAAGCCTGGAAATGAGGAACCACGGTCGGTGTGAATGTAAGGTGTTGCAAACAGAAAATAATTGTAAGAGATGATGATGAGACACGGAAATCGCGATTATTCACCGGTCATTGTAAGTAAATATTTGTTACTTGTATGTAATAGTATCGGTCCTTTGAAATCCATATGTAACCTCTGAAATTTCGCGGTGGTTTTGATGAGGTTCCCGGTGGGCGATATTTCGGTTTTCATTCCGAGCGCACTGTACATTGGGCGATGGTTTCTGTACGGAATAAGGTAGATTTGCGGATTTCACAAAATGCTGAAGACGCACGACGCCAGAATGCATAGAGAATTGTGAAGCTTCTTTAAAGACACGGTAGTTCATATGGTTGTGATGTGCACGCGAGTGTCAGCAACTACATTTTATTCACCTGCACGATATGATACGTCAAAGCTGCATCAAGATAGTTCGATTCTCCAGCACTGTTTTTTCTCGTTTTTGACTCCCTCACTGCTGCTTGTCACACATAAATGTGACTAACCTCTGATAAGTGATTTTAAAAAATGTGAACCAATTAAGTAATACTGTCATTTTCGGGCTGCCTCGAAAATAGCGCAGGCCTCTTCTTCGACGGAAGAGTGACGGAAGATGTTAGCGTTCGTGAGAAAAACGCAACTGGTCTACCGTTCTGTGATAGTATTGCGGCTGTTGCTAAATCTGAAGTATCGGTTTCCAACACTAGAGGAGCGTGAGGATCGACGGTTGTCCCTACGGCTCGAGCTAGTTCATTTTTCAGAACATCTTACGCAGCTCTGACGCTTGTTGGCAGCGGAATGTGTTGTTGTTGACCAGAGGGTTAATCTTGTCGGGGAAATGAGATATCCACTGAGAGTAATGCGCAAATAACCCAATAAAACGTTGCATCGATTTTTGATCTCGATGAGGCGGTAGCTCCAGCAGGAGTCGTAAACGATTCGGGTTGGGTTTGATGTATCTATGGGAGACTTTGTCTGTGTTTATGATGCTTTTAACGTCATTAAAGGTCAAGGAGTATTAACAAGCAATCCCGTACAAACAATCCAAGTTTCTCCGATGCTCTTGCTCAGAGGAACCATTATCTAAATAGGCAGAAGCCGTTTCCAGTTGCTTGTTTCTATTGATTTGATCGATAACCGTTTGGAGAGAAGAAACACCATTGGTGATGCCAAAGGGAATCCAACAGAACTGATACAAATCGCCACCCCCTTCGAATACCGTATATGTTTTATATCCGTCCCCTAAGAATATCTAATTATATACGCTCTTCAAGTCCAGTGTACTGAATGTGAGATTTTCTCTACCATTTCGACCATCTTTGGTAGGGGGTAGGCATCCAGGAGCGTAAAGTGGTTAACAGCCTGACTTTAGTCAACTACCATTCCGCGTTTTTGACGTTTGTTCGTAGTAACAAACACTTGGGCACGCCAAAGAGAATTCGAAGGTTCTATGATGCTATCTATCAGCAATTTTTGCACTTCGATTTTGATGTACAGCTCGTCAGAGGGTGAATGCCTCCGAGACTTGGTTACAACTGGGGCTCAAGCAGGCGTGAGATTGTTAAATACCGAAGGTAGCTCGATATTCGCAGCCGCTACACTGCGGACCGAAAATGAATCTTTGGCTCCATCAAACGGAATTTCTGCTTTTGAGAGGTTATCTGAAACCGAGAGCTCGATATTTGTATAACGATAGTTCTTATGCAATAAATTAAAAAGGCAGTGTCCGTGAGTGAAGGTCATGGCTACGAACCGACATCAATGTAGACCATACTGTCACTTATCAGTGCAAAATGATTGAACTAGTATGAATGCTCAATTGGGCTGTGTACTCTGTGTGTTGACCATAGAGGTTCACTTTCTTTTCCCGTCCCTAAGGATAGGTCCAATTCCTATCATCCTTACACATTCTCACTTATTTTGTATGCATTATGAGTTTGGCAGCGATCAGTGAAGTTCGCTTCACTGTATTAGTCTGTACAATAATAATAATAATCTCAAATGTGTGATAATCTCTATCTTGTCTTGTTTGGGCATCAGTAAATACCGAACAAACTGCCGCTTTCGGTCATACGTACGTTAAACGATGAACGAATGCAGCGATCTTATGTTCGAGACTACCTTTCATAAAGCAGAAGAACCGACAGATAATTTGTGAGGGTTTCTGATATACCTGATTGTATGTTCGAAATTGGTTAGAGGAAAGCAGTAAAAATGCAGTGCCAATTCAGCAGCTTCAAAGGAGTTAGGGTCCAGATACGAATGTTCTGGATGGAGGAGTTCTGTCGTGGATCATGTGATGAACCGTCACTCAATTAGGTGTTAAGGAAAAAGAATGTGGTAGATCTGTTTATAATGGTTTTGAGAGTAAATTAGTCCAGTTCTTCTAAACCGAGGGAAGTTTTTGCCTCTGGAGTATTATTTATGAAAAAGTCATCCCGATATCTGGATAAACTTTTACTTAACTGATAACGACAATTGATTTTACTGTTAATCCTATTTCGCTTTGTCCTTGCTTAGTAATTACCATTGATCTGTGACTGGATCCGGTTGGCTTGAGTACATTGACTGACCAATAAGTAGCATTACTGTCACTGAATTTGTTAAACTGAATAAATACAGAAGTTCCACTAGATTGTTGGTATATCGGCTCATTCAGTTCAGTTCAGTTTTTACAACTGTGAACCAAGCACATTCGTGCACTGGTTTTGTACGCTGCCGAAGGTTGTTTGTGATCGCACTATCGTTTTTTGTACAGTTTTGTGTCTGCCAAAGCTAGATATTTGCTCATCAGCTTTTTCTCTTATCTTCAATTGTTCACAGCCCGTAATGTCATAGAAAGACGAAATGGATTATTCTAAACTAAGAAACTATCGACACGCTGACCCTTTGAAAGTGCGGCAGGTTTGGGACACACTTGGTGCGGTGAAAGGTCAACGCGTTGTCGTCCCTAGCGATAAACTTGTCAAATCCCTTCGTAAAAAGCTGGATCTGAAGGATGATCAAATCCGACTTCTTTTGGACGAAATAGAAGGCGATGGGCTTGTTGAAAAAATTGACCCTTCGTTTGGAAAAAGTGGACCTGTGAGCTATCGCCTGCCCGACTTTACAAAACCATGTCCTCGTGGAAAACATGATTGGTATTGTTTTCAGTGTCATAAACCAGGTGAAGTACTCAAATGCACCGATTGCTTCCGAGTTTATCACTTAGACTGTGCACAAGAGGCGTCAAAACTATCTAGTCCATCGGGAAAATCTTTGAGATCACCCATGTTGTATGATGGATATGCAGATGACTTTAGTTGCCCGGTTTGTGAATCCCGACCCAAATGTGAGTTCTCACGAAAACAAATCCGCAAATTGCTTGAATTCGCCACTCACCACTTGCGGAAGCAGTCATTGTGGAAGACATTTTTGCAAATTGGTTATCGAAATGAAATCAATAAAAATGAATTCCTTGCCTATAAGTATACTGATTTGGACCTGCTGCAACGGAAAATCAAAGACGGTCGGTATGCCGCTCTTGAAGAATTCTCGATGGATGTTCAGCTTCTCGTGCATGATGTGTGCATTCTTCATGGTCTATACAGTGAACAAGCTGATGAAGTTCGTGTGTTACTTAGATCCGTCAACACTGAACTCAAGGAAATCCAATTGTGCACTGATTGCTATATCAACGCTAAAACGCGGCTGTCAGATTGGATTAGTAAACCTTGCAAACCCCCTCATGAACTTATTTGGGCGTGCAACCGTACTCCTACTGGCGCGGGTCTCTTCAGTGATGCCGTTATTTCTCAATACTACTGGCCTGCTAAAGTGCTCCTCGAACGGGACGATGCATATGAAGTATGTTTACCTTATATTCTTTACTGACGATATCTTCCTCGTTTCGGATATTTCTTACTTTATTTTGAACATATTAGAATCGTGATAGATTCGTGAAAAGCATAGTGCTTGCATAAGGTAAAGGAGAAATTTATACACATGCTGGTTATTATTTTCTTTTTGGTTTTACGTTTTTCGATAAGTTTACGCCTGAGCCTATACACCCATAATTAGATAAGTGAATCGGTTTAGGTATGCATAATCCCCAAGTTGAGTGCAAAAACAGTGTTGTAAGGAGGAGTGTACGCTTCAGTTATCCAGCCATATGTGTATGCGGTCTACAGTAGGAACAACAGAGGGATATGTTTGGTAGTGTGATATACAGACTCAGAAATGATTACCATATGGTCCGTCCCGTTCCGTACGCAATAGTTCACATGGAAATGGGACCCTCATCTACTGATTTTCCTATCATTATTTAATGTCTTTTCCCACCGTCCTATAGTTTTGATTCGTCTTTTAACCAAATTCTGCACTAACAAATGTGAATAGCGCTCACATAAACATGAGCCTTTTCACTGAATGTGATAAATATTATACTTTTCGCACGTCCGGGACCAAATAGTGCCAAAAGAATGGCAATTCAGCAATCGTTATAACAAATATATTTGTCCATACCGGCATCAGTCCGCGAATTTTGGTTCACTTTTTTCGCTGTGCGATGATGATAATGCATGTGTAACACAAATCCATAGCAGACGGTGTGCATTCTCGAATGCTACTTGTCTCCCGCGCTAAGTCGCCTTCATCTTCCGCCCAGACATTTCTTCATCTCCTCACTTTCCAAAGCTGAGATTCGCCTTACACTTGAATACTGCAGTCAAGTATGGGGTGGGGCTTCATCTACCGCTCTTTCTCGTTCAACGTAGGGCCATTCGTCTCATCGACGGCCCGTCCCTAACATGTAACTTGCAGTCACCAGCTCATCGTCTTTATCCTTATTCTATCGATACTACTTTGGATTTTGCTCTATTGAACTTTCCACTTGTTCTTCCTCGTAAATACCACACACAAGCGGCTAGCCACCCATTTTAAGTGACTATCCCCAGGTCTCGCATTTCAGACTTTCAATCGACTTTTTTCCCAAGAACAGCACAACTGTGGAACACTCTCCCTTTCGGTCTTCTCTCCGACGTGCAACATCCTAAACGCAGATCCAATAAGCCGGTTCTAGCTTCAATATTCCCCTCACGTTCCCATGTACAGTATATTCCTGGATAATGAAGTTTACCCCTTTCACTGTATTCTTCTCGTGTAATGGAAAATGCTCGGATGTTGACAACTAGGCGTACATGCCATCAAAATGTTTTGAAAAGTGCATTTTCGCAGGCAATCGCCTTTGAAGAAAGTACTATGCTAGTTTTTCAGTTTGAATTCGTTCGTCACGGGAAAATCTGCAAAAAATAGCACTAAAACAATAAGGAAACCCTTGTTGTGATGTGCAGGCCGTGCAGTGTTATAAGAATGGGCCAATAAAATAACGTTTATTGGCTTTATACGGATCATGTCAGGTGAACATTTGGGAATCACTGACCTGTAAATGAACAAATGTATCTTGTTACAACAAACGGGAATAGTCGGTTGATCGTTGAGAGCTTTTTAATGGGAGACAGCATAAGTGAGATAAATAGAACATCTCAGTAAATATCGACATACGGAGCAACAGTTGCTGATGAGCTTGAAAACGGTTTGAAGCCCGTCTCTCGGTAAAAGTGTTATGCTCATTGCATCGAATACCTCTGTGGCGTCGTGACCGGAAATTTAAAATTCTCCGCGACAGTTCACGAAACGAATGGAAGTGGATTTTACCTAAACAACTATGGTCACAGCATCTGCTTGCTGTTTCTGTCGTTGATTCCTCATAGTCATCTTCGTGTCTATTCATTTGTTTTCTGATATTTTTACGGAACGATCGTAATCATGAAATCTTTACTATTATCATTATATCTCAAACAAATCATCGTTATGACAAAAATTATCCCATGATTGTGATACGGTCAAGTTGTTTAAACCAAACGTTAATTTCTTGAGGATTCCCCACTGGGGGGGGGCGGCGTTTAATCAAACAGATCGTGAGAAACGGTTCACATTGAAACTCGTTACTCTTCTCGGCCAACATCACACTAAGTGATATGCGTAATCTGTGGATCTGAAGCACGTTTTGCACTGATCGATCACATTTACCTAACAATCTTCGTCTTCGGCCCTTCACAGTCGTGCAATGCGGTGTGGATAGCGATCATTGAACACCGATATTTCTTTGTTCTGTTCCTGTGCATTGACACAGACCGCACAAAGAAACTGCACAGAATCGCACTTCATGAGAACATTTCTTTGGAGAAAAGTGAGATCTCGCTCAGTCATCAACAAATTCGAAGCTGTTTAAGGGCTCCTAGTAATAACTTGAGACACATCTGAACAACAATTTTCCCTAATACGTATATGCAATACAAATTAAAATTTCCTTATTTTACTGGCTTTATGTGTTTATCATGCGAAAATTGGTTGCTTAAAAAGTATTGTTTCTCCGTTGTATTTCAGATTCGCTTCTTCGGTGGCACACATGAACGTGCCCTGGTGAAAAAATCCAACACCCGTCCGTTCCATATTCCGGCAGACGAAATTGGCGTTTTGCGTCGCGGAAGTGGCTCCACTGGTGCTCTGCCTGGGGGTGGATTTGAGAGAGCTTGGAACGAGGTCAGCAAACTGCAAGCTAATATCGACAGTGGTTATTATACTCATTCTTCTGGTGAGAGTGATCTTCCTCCTTCCGACGACGAATACTCAGATGAAATTTATCTTGGTCCTCGTCGAGGAAAACTCAGTTTATACCAACGGACCAATCGTGCACACAGTCCACACTCATCGTCCACTTCTACCAACCGAAAAGAGATTAAACGAAGGTAGATATAATCACGTTTGTCGATATTTTCCGCTCCCGTATGAAATTCAAGAGTATCTTGATTCTTTATACCCATGGTGTTCAGTTTGATTGTTTGTTCCCGACTTGGAATTATTCCAACTTTTTCTGCTGATTGACTTTTCTAAGAATTTCTTTTGGGTAGTATATTCAGTTGTTTTTTATACTAAAAGGTTATTTTAATCATGATCTTCAAAAATCGTATGAACCCAAACCCTCGCTTTTGATAACTTCCCAGTTTACAAAGTTTTCGCAACACGTCATGAAAGTACAGTTCATGTGTTCATAAAGTGTGGGCTACCAGTAATGAGGTCACATGCCTTTGGTTTCCTTATTTCGATTTTCTACAGAGACTGTGATTAAACGATCAACTTATGTAGCTGTTTTTATCGAGAAAACCTGTTGTACATTGTTTTCGGATCAATATCCTGCCACGAGGTCGTATTCCATTCACGGTTATACGCATGGAGATGCGTCTGAATACCAGTTATTGTTTTTATCACTGGTTAGACCAGCTATGCAGGATTGGCAACTCGTTTCCCAGGTTGAACACATTTCGTGTTTCGCCTTCTAGAATGAAGATTTTTTACTTCCCTCCTGGATCAAGGACCCTTCATTTTTTATTACACACTAGTGTGTGTGATGAACATGAGACTAGGTGGACCCCATAGTCACGAATGCCTACTGTTCAGCGATGGTAACCGGCAACATAAGCTCCGGAACTTGGAGTGGCGACCCACATAAGACCCCGCTTGGTCAGGCGTAGTATAGAACCGGGTGACAACAAAGCTGTCTACCACCAAAGTTTGGTGGTGGTGGCGGGGCTCTGATCACAGGATCCAAAGTACCGGGGACAGCGACCAAACCCCTGCTCAACTGCCACCCACAGTTTCCCAATG